ATTTTGGGGATTTTTGGGGCCATTTTTGGGTGAATTTTGGGGATTTTTGGGGCCATTTTGGGGGTGATTTTGGGTCAATTTTTGAGGTGATTTGGGGCCATTTTTGGGTGAATTTTTGGGGATTTTTGGGACCATTTTTGGGTGAATTTTGGGGATTTTTGAGGTGAATTTTGGGTCAATTGTTGAGGTGATTTTGGGGCCATTTTGGGGTGAATTCTGGAGATTTTTTGGGGGAAATTTTGGGGTGAATTTTGGGGATTTTTGGGCCATTTTGATGCTTTGTTGAGACAATTTTTGGGGTGATTTTGAGGGAATTTTTGGGTCAATTTTGAGAATTTTTGGGGTCATTTTTCATGGAATTTTGAGACATTTTTTGGGATTTTTTGGGGGGATTTTAGGAAGTATTTGGGGCCATTTTTGGAGCAATTTTGGGGATTTTTGAGGTGATTTTGGGAAAATTTTTGGGTGAATTTTGGGGATTTTTGAGGCGATTTTGGGGCCATTTTTGAGGTGATTTTGAGGGGATTTTTGAGGGAATTTTTGGGTGAATTTTGGGGATTTTTGGGGCCATTTTGGGGAAATTTTGGGTCAATTTTTGAGGTGATTTTGGGGCATTTTTGGGTGAATTTTGGAGATTTTTTGGGAAATTTTTGGGTGAATTTTTGGGTGAATTTTGGGGATTTTGGGGCCATTTTTGGGAAAATTTTGGGGATTTTTGGGGCCATTTTCCATGGAATTTTGAAACATTTTTGGGGTTTTTTTGAGGGAATTTAGGAAGAATTTGGGGCCAATTTTGGGTGAATTTTAGGCATTTTTGAGGTGATTTTGGGGCCATTTTTGGGTCATTTTTGGGTGAATTTTGAGGATTTTTGTGGTGATTTTTGGGGCCATTTTTGGGTGAATTTGGGGGATTTTTGGGGCCATTTTGGGGTGAATTTAGGTCAATTTTTGAGGTGATTTTTGGGGCATTTTTGGGTGAATTTTGGAGATTTTTGGGGAAATTTTTGGGTGAATTTTGGGGATTTTTGTGGTGATTTTTGGGGCCATTTTTGGGTGAATTTTGGGGATTTTTGGGTCATTTTTGGGGTGAATTTGGGTCATTTTTTGAGGTGATTTTGGGTGAATTTTGGGTGAATTTTGGAGATTTTTGGGGCCATTTTGTGGAAATTTTTGGGTGAATTTTGGGGATTTTTGGGGCCATTTTTGGGTGAATTTTGGGTCAATTTTTGAGGTGATTTTGGGTGAATTTTGAGGATTTTTGTGGTGATTTTTGGGGCCATTTTTGGGTGAATTTTGGGGATTTTTGGGTCATTTTTGGGGTGAATTTGGGTCAATTTTTCAGGTGATTTTGGGTGAATTTTGGGTGAATTTTGGGGATTTTTGGGGCCATTTTGTGGAAATTTTTGGGTGAATTTTGGAGATTTTTGGGGAAATTTTTGGGTGAATTTTGGGTGAATTTTGAGGATTTTTGGGGCCATTTTGTGGAAATTTTTGGGTGAATTTTGGAGATTTTTGGGGCCATTTTGAGATTATTTTTGGGTGAATTTTGGGGATTTTTGGGGCCATTTTGGGGTGAATTTTTGGGGATTTTTGGGGCCATTTTGAGGCCATTTTGGGTCATTTTTGAGGCGATTTTGGGTCATTTTTGGGTGAATTTTGGGTCAATTTTTGAGGTGATTTTGGGTGAATTTTGAGGATTTTGAGGTGATTTTGGGGCCATTTTTGGGTGAATTTTGGGGATTTTTGGGGCGATTTTGGGGCCATTTTGGGTCAATTTTTGAGGTGATTTTGGGGCCATTTTGGGGTGAATTTTGGGGATTTTTGGGGCCATTTTTGGGTGAATTTTGGGGATTTTTGGGCCATTTTGATGCTTTTTTGAGACAATTTTTGGGGTGATTTTGAGGGAATTTTTGGGTGAATTTTGGGGATTTTTGGGGCCATTTTTCATGGAATTTTGAGACATTTTTTGGGATTTTTGGGGGAATTTTAGGGAGAATTTGGGGACATTTTTGGGAAAATTTTGGGAATTTTTGGGGCCATTTTGGGGTGAATTTGGGTCAATTTTTGAGGTGATTTTGGGTCAATTTTTGGGTGAATTTTGGGTCATTTTTGGGTGAATTTTGGGTCAATTTTTGAGGTGATTTTGGGTGAATTTTGGGTGAATTTTGGAGATTTTGGGGGAAATTTTTGGGTGAATTTTTGGGGATTTTTGGGGCCATTTTGGGGTGAATTTTGGGGTGAATTTTGGGGATTTTTGGGGCCATTTTTGGGTGAATTTTGAGGATATTTGAGGCCATTTTTGGGTGAATTTTGGGGCATTTTTGGGGTGAATTTGGGTCAAATTTTGAGGTGATTTTGGGTGAATTTGGGGTGAATTTTGGAGATTTTTGGGGCCATTTTGTGGAAATTTTTGGGTGAATTTTGGGGATTTTGGGGGAAATTTTTGGGTGAATTTTGGGTGAACTTTGGAGATTTTTGGGGCCATTTTGTGGAAATTTTTGGGTGAATTTTGGGGATTTTGGGGCCATTTTTGGGTGAATTTCGGGGATTTTGGGGCCATTTTGGGGAAATTTTGGGTCATTTTTGGGGTGATTTTGGGGCATTTTTGGGTGAATTTTGGGGCCATTTTGGGGAAATTTTGGGTCAATTTTTGAGGTGATTTTGGGGCATTTTTGGGTGAATTTTGGGGATTTTGGGGCCATTTTTGGGGAAATTTTGGGGATTTTTGAGGTGATTTTGGGAAATTTTTTGGGTGAATTTTGAGAATTTTTGGGGCCATTTTTCATGGAATTTTGAGACATTTTTTGGGGTTTTTTGAGGGAATTTAGGAAGAATTTGGGGCCAAT